ATTTGTGGGAAAATTCTACTTCTACCAGTCCTTCATCACCTTAAACGAAATTGGGTGAATACATCCTACATTGCTTAAGAGTAATAGAAATCAACAAATTAAGCAAAGCATAAATTGCATGTATACGGGCAAATGATTTGTCTAAATACAAACCTCACTACCAACATTACGTTAGTAACCTAGACATTTCAATTTTTCTTTGACTACTAACAACATGAGCTACCTTATAATTGATCTGACCAATGAGCAACTTTTTCGTCTTGTCAAGGCGAATTGGTTGAACGTACTTTGTCCGAAATCCTCTTCTAATGTAGTTATCGTAATTTCTAGCGTTGGATCGTGGACTTGGTACATTGCCAGACGTTTCGCTTAGCTATAGGATAATAAGACAACGCAAGATCATACCAACCCGGGCACACTTGGGGGCATCAATTGCTACAAACGACGATAGCGATAAGATAGTAAACCTGTCCCCAACCCCGCTTGATTTCGAAACGGTGGATCGCCTGAAGAAAGGGTTACATTTTTCACTCGGTAACGAAGGGAACCTTTTAGAAGATATCCTTGCAGAAGGTATCAGCAACTCGGAGAAAGTGCCGGAAGAGGCAAAACGAGAGATGGAAATGGAATCAATCCCGAGAATTCTGTCCCATCAAATGTCGATGAAATGGAGTGGATTGATGAAAATATGTAGAAAATTACAAATGAATAACCAAATAGTACTTCAGACGGATTAAGTAGGTGCGACAGTGATAATGGACAGGAAAGAGTACACGGGGAAAATGGAAAGTATCCTAGTCGGCCGGAACACTTATCAAATACTAAGGAACGATCAAATTACGAAGATCAACTGGACACTGAAGAATATGCTACAGGAAATGCATGATAATTGGGAAATTGGCAAATGGAGGATGGAATCTTTAATCAAAAATGACGCAAGACCACCGACAGCCTACGGACTAGCGAGCATATAGAAGGAAGGAAATCCGCTAAGATTAGGAGACAACACACAAACTAGCGAAATTCATATGCTTGACA